TATGTATATGAGAATCATATAAAGTTTATGGAACCCTAACAAGAAGAAATTATTTTCATTTTGCTAATAAGTACAAAGTTATTTTCTACCAAGGGACAGATGTTTCTTCCTGAATATCTCTTCATTGATACAGACTCAAGCCATGAGTAGATGAGGATCATTATTATTCTAATGAGATGTTAAATGAGAGCTACCCACTTGAATTAGTGCATAAGTAATTAATTCCTATGGCTTAAATGTCAACATAATACAACAAATAATCTCTTAAAAATTGATTTATTTAAGGGCTATTGAGATAGCTCAGATGTAGGGGTACTTACAGGGCACCAACTTGGTGACCTCACTTCAATCCTTGGGGCACACATGGAAGGAGAGGACCACTTTCTTGACATAGGTGCACCCCCCCCAAATCCACACAATAAATAAATGTAATTAAAAAATACTTTATTTAAACTGAAGCAAAAGACCAGGTGTGGTGGTGGTGCACACCTTTAATCCAAGCACCCAAGAGGCAGAGGCAGGTGAAACTCTGTGAGTTCAAGGCCACTTGGGGAGTTCTAGGCCAGCAATACATAACATAAGTTACATAGTTAAGACTCTATCTAAAGAAAAAAAGCAAGAGCCAAAGAGCTGAGAGTGCGGCTCAGGGGTACAATACTTACCGAGTCCCAATCTCCCCACATGAAACCAGACTGGTATTTTCATCAAATATTTATTTGCAGGGGTATATCATATCATATGTATGAATGCACCACATGCCTGGTTCCCACAGAGTCCAGAAAAGGGTGTTGGATCATCTAAAAGTGTAGTTACAGATAGTGAAGCCAAGTGGGTGCTTGGACCTGAACTCATGTCCTCTGTCAGATCAGCATGTGCCCTTAACCACTGAGTCAACTCTTCAGCCTCCAGGGTTATATTTTTAAAATTGCATTTTAACTGGGATTTTCACAAAATAGAATTTATTCAAGGAATATCAGAAAGATGATAGGTACAGGCTGGCATTTTAGACAAATGGCATTAGATGCTTTTGTACAGGTATGGAAGACACAACCAGAATCATCAAAATGTGGCTGAAACAGGCAAGAAGCCTTTGGCGCCATTAAAAGGATATAATTTACCATATGACAGAAATCTGTAAATGTGCCAGATCTGTTTAACGTATCTTCTCCAGTGATATTTAAAATGAGTTGAGGACAATGGCTGGGGTGGTGGCTCGGGCTGGGAAACCGGGGCAGGAAGATCACCATGGTCAACTTGAGGGAAGAGTTGAAGATAATGTGCCTGAAATACCGTTGGGAGAATTTTCTGGGTTTTGTGGAGGGAAGGTACTGGGGACTGAAAGTAGAGCCTGGCACGCTCTATCACTAAGTAATATCCCTTTTGGAATTTTTGGTTAAACAGTGTGCAAAGTTGGAGGCTTCTAAACTCCTGTCTTCTACCGTAGACCACTCCCTCAGTTCAGGATTCCAGATCTAGGGGCTGTATGTCAGGATATGTTCATATTTATAACTGCTACGGGTATGAAGAATCGCCAAGTGCAGAGGATCTGAGTTGGATCTGCCTCTGTCTCCCGAGTGCTGGGATTAAAGGCGTGCACCACCACGCCTGCCTGGCTTATAGCAGAATTTTTGAGCTGCAGGTTTAGTGAGAGACTGTCTCAAAAATAATATGGAAAAGATGTATCTACCAGTGTGGTGCAATAGTGGTGTGAATGTTATAGGACTAATCAGTCACTTTCTAGTTGAATATAAGGTCTGTTTCATAGGATGGAGCCCATACCTGACATCGATATTAGGCCTAGGAACCTGAGGCTAGCAGGTAACAGGCCATAGGGAAGAGCCTAATACTAGTTTTCTACTAAATAGTTTTCTTATTAAAGTCATTTCTAATGACTTAGTGTTATATGCATAGATTAATTAATGCATCTTTCAGCTCTCACCGGAGAAGTTTCCTTATGCAGCAGATGGTGATTAACACAGAAACATACAACTGGCCAGTGAACAGAATGCTTATCCCTGACTAGGACACCTATATCAACCTCTGCCTCTCAAGGCTCAGGGATCATTGTGGAAGAGGGGTCAGAAAGACTATAAGAGCCAGAGGTGGTAGATGACCACAAGGAAACAGTTTTCCAGACAGCTGCTCAGTTATTCATATAAATTCACAACAATGGTGACAACATGTACAAATCCCATGCAAGCTCAAACAAGACAAAATCCCAGCATAGATATGGGGAAGTGGGTAAGGGATCGATGGCTGCTGTGAAGGGGAGAGACAGTCTTTCTCAAGGATGGGATTCTTGGTAGGTTAATCAGGCTAAAGTGGACAGACCCACACTGAAGGACATTTGGGGACACAAATAGAGTACATTAAATTTGACAGGGGGACAATAAAGGGAGGTTTGGATATGGGAGGGGCTCTAAATACCATCAAATTATATTGTATGAAAGTCAGAAGAATTCAATAAAAATGCAGATTATAAAAAGAAAAATATAAGAGATAGAGGAAGACACTAGATGTTGACTTCTAGCCTTTTTCATATATACATGTGTACCTGCATATACATGTATGTACACACACACACACACACACTCAAACAAAAACATAAAACAAAAACAAGCCAGCAGACTCTGTAGCTGGCTGGTGTCAGTATCTGGGTAGGTAGGCACTATAGCTCAGAAGACTTAACCCGTGGGTGAGCTATGTACACAGGAGCCTCGCTGTGTATTTCTTACAACTACATGTTACTCTATATATTTCTTTTAATATTTTATTATTTTTATTTTATGTGTATGAGTATATTGCCTGCATGTAGGTGAGTGCACCTGTGTCATGCAATGCTGCGGAAGTCAGGGGCTTCGGATTCCCCTGGAACTGGAGTTAAGGACTGTTTGTAGTTGCCATGTGGGTGCTGGGAATTGAACCTGGGTCCTCTGCAAGAGCAGTCAGTGCTCTTAACCGCTGAGCCATCTCTCCAGCCCCAACTCTATATATTTCAAAATAAAATGTTTAAGGAAAGTAAATCATAGACAGGAGGAAAATATTTTCATAAATGTAACTGAAAATTACTTGTATCCAATATGTATTTTAATTAAAATATTTTTATTTATTACTTTTATGTGTATGAGTGTATTGCCTGCATGTATTCAAGTGCATTTGTGTTGCGCAATGCCCGTGGAGGTCAGATCCCCTGGAACTGGAGTTATAAGCAGTTGTTAGTTGCCATGTTGGTGCTGGGAACTGAACCCAAGTCCTCTGCAAGAGCAGCCAGTGTTCTAAACCACTGAGCCATCTCTTCAGTTCTATATTTTGAATTTTTATAACTAAAAATAAGACAGTAAAGGAAGGAGCTGCATTTTGGACAGATCCTTCACAAATGAGAGTGAATGGCAGATACTGAGAGGAAAATGTGTTCATTGCCATTATCCAATAAATAGAAGTGAAAGCCTTGTACGTTTGAGGGAGAAGGGAGGAAAGTCCATTTAGTCCCATTCCACATGACTGGAAATGGGGTTGTTACTGCTTGTTATGGGTGAACAGAGGCTTCACATACAGTCCCCTGGTTTGGGAGGAGCGCCTCCCTGTTACTGCAAGAGGAAGATTCCAGTGTGGACATTTGTCACAGTCTGTGCAGCTTCAGTGCCGAGTAACAAAGAGGGAAGGGAAGCTTTTCTCATGACACCTTTGTCGATTGGGCAGAACAGATCAAATGTGTCTGTCCCACTGGGCTGTCCTTGTGCTGCTTGTGTTGTTAGCTTTATGCTTTCTATACAGTCTCTTTCAAAAAGCAGAGGTTTAATTTTCATGGAATCACAGCCATAGCTATGTTCACCTAGGTTGTCTTTTAGTAACATGATTTCTTTCTTTTTTTTTTTTTAGTAACATGATATTTTTATCATTTAAATTTTACGTAACTGGGTCAGCAAGATGGCTCAGCAGGTAAAGGCAATTGCTGCTAAGGCTGACAACCTGAGTTTGATTACCAGAACCTACATCGTAGAAAGAGAAAACCAACTCCTGAAGGTTGTCCTCTGACCTCTACAAGCGCACGTACACACACACACACACACACACACACACTCACTTACACTGAATGTAAAATAAAAAATAACAGCCAGGTGTGGTGTCGCATGCCTTTAATCCCAGCACAAAAAAATAAGTTAAAGATTCCCATCAGCTTTATGGCAATTTTATTTTATTTTTTGGTCTTTTTGAGACAGGGTCTCCCTGTAGCCCCAGCTGTCCTGGAACTCACTATGTAGACCAGGCTGGCCTTGAACTCACAGAGATCCTCCTGCCTCTGCCTCCTGAGTGCTGGGATTAAAGGCGTGCGACACCATGCCCGGGGCTTTATGACAATTTTTATATATAATATGGAGTGAGGAGTAAGAGTTGAGCTTTTTTCCCACCTACAGAACACCAAGCCGTCCATCATTATTTATGGGAAACACTGTTTTTCCCTCATTAAAATATCTTGGCATCTCTACAGAAAGTCAGTTGCTCAGAATACAAATATGTGAATCCTTTTCTGGACTCAAATTATCCATATCCTCACATCAGTGTATCAGAACCACCATTCTCACATCAGATCCACCATCATCAAATCAGTGGTTTTCCATCTATTGGATAATGACATTGAACTTATTTGCCTGCCAGTATTTGCCATTCAAATGTTCATTTATGAAGAATCTATTAAGTGTTGTTTTTCCTTTATTATCCTTAGTTTTAAATTTTAAAAGAATATATTGGAAATAAGTACTTTTTGAGATACATACTTTCAAAATATTTTTTCCTTGTCTATGGTTTGCTTGACTGTTGTAGTTTTTAAAATTTTTATTTATTTATTTAA